ACTAGATGCTAAACTCTAGCGCAGGTGGACCCAGTATACAACTAATTTTAAAAACAAGTATAAAATGCACATGCATTCCACGCGTCGACCCAGATTGGACGACTCCCGCGCATCCGTTTTGTTAAAATAACTCTTAATATTCATGCGAGAGACACCCGCTGATAAATGATGTGAACGTCTAATTTTATTGATGTCGGTCATATGTCGCTACCATTCGGGGAATGGAAATTCCTTAGATTTATTTCTGTAAAGATTCTTCGTCTGTGCACGCCTTTATTCTCATTATAAGGGCGTGTACAGACATTTGTTTTTATTTCATAAGCAACACTCCTTACATATCATATATATAAATGTTATAAGGTAAAGAGTTATTTTTTAAAGAGTGATTCCTCTTCAAACGATAAAAGATACACATTTATCACAAACCTATGTATCACGTAGATGTCTATCTTTTAAGACTAACTTGCAATAACGACAGGACGCGAACAAAATCGTGAGTAACAGCTTTAATTTATAAACATGAGGAAGTAATTGCAAAAACAAATTGCGATGCTCAAAATAACTATTCCACTCGGACGAAGTCGCTGGCACAGCTAGTTACTTTATGTACACACGAAATATACCTTGCCATTTTATGAATTTTTGATCAGGTATTGAATTCTGATTTCTGACGCAAGTTAAACATTTTTTATTCATTAAAATAATGTACAACGCCGCAGACAACCGACCTTACTCAAAAATGTATAAATTATTTATTTCATCTGCAATTAAATATGGCGAAAATGGTATTATGCCATCTAGATTAGTTAAATAAATGTCTCTGATTATGCCTAGAAATGCGAAAGTATTGTATAATTAATTTGGAAAGTTCGCTAATCAAAGAGAAATCAATTTTGTGTATCCATATAAGATCATTAGTACAAAGGAATGATCTAATAGTGTGTATAAATTAGGAATAAAATTTGCATTTTCGTTTTGTATATTGAAATTTATACATGGGCATAACTAATGTTTTTTATGACATAATATGCCATAATAGTGTAATAAATTTAAAAGCTTAGTAAGTATTTCTGCGAATCTGCTCCTTATAACTTTGTTATGGTAGACAGCTGGCTGGAGGACAGAGAAGCCTGGTGCTCTTGATGGTAGTTGAAATACCCCAGCCGTCATCTGAACCAAATGTGCTATCGACCTAATTTGACTTTGGGTATGTGGAAATCCACAGACTATAGTCGGAAACGCGAAAATCTTTCGGATTTTTCACGGTGACCCGGGCGGAATTTCGATATTCCTACCACCCGATTAATAAGTTTCTAGGTCTAGAACCAACGGAGATCGAACTTGTTGATTATTAGCCATGCAATGCTACTACCAACACACGACCTCGTCAAAATTATGATTATATAAAGAGCATTGAAAATCTATGATTTTGAGGTCTCTTTTTCTGTTTGTTTACATATACTTTATTGTAATTGGCTCTGTAAATGGCTACAAACAAGTAATCTACGAAATATCTCTTAGTAAGCGTTATGTTTATTTTAGTTTTCAATGAGTTGAATCAAGATGGCGCCGCTTTTATGGGCAAGTTTATTTTGATACAAGTGCATCATTGTTTATTATATTCGCCGGTCGTCGACCTCACTTCCTTATTCTATAAGGAATCAACTAGTAATCACTTAATTTCCTTGTAGGATTGACCTTACACGGTTGTAATTTTTTCGTCACCATACATGGATGTAGGAAATTAAGAAAATTAGCTAAACAGTGCGACAGATGTGATATATCAAGGACAAATATACTTACATATATTACATCTAAGTCCTGTTACGCATTGTTACATAGTAGTGTTTTAAACGATATCAAAAAAAAATATTGCCTCTATTATATATAGACTACAAAACTTTTAGTTAATTTTTATTAGGTGTTAATCCACTAATTTATTTTTATTTTGTAGTAAATTATCTTATTAAGAATAGTATGATTGGGGTAATTTCTTGTCAATATAATTTTTTTATAAAGCCAAAATTTAACCAAAGGTGGTGCCAAGCAGTGCACGTTAAGCGGGCAAATGGTATTAGTTAATTTAAACTACGGCCCGACGTTTCGAGTTTTAAACCGTTAAAAGTTTTTTATTTCAATGTGTACTTGCGTAAACTATAGACAGTGATCTTTCTTTCTTTCAAACCTAGACAATTCAACTATCTACTCAGCTACGGTGGCGGTGAAATAGCTGACGCAATAAATATGAATATAAAATGTCGGTATTAAATAACCTGCTTAATAACCCAGTTATCACCATGTTGCGTTATCAGATCGAATTAACATCGGAACTCGGAAGTCCTTGCAACGAAAGCCAGTCACGACTCTGGCCTGGTGAGGTGGTGAGAACGAAAACACATTCAAGATAATTGTTATTATTTTATCAACACCTACATAAAACTAGAATTGTTATTGATTTATGGTTTGCGTATTGTTTAACTGAAAATTAAATTTACCTGGAAATCCGAAATATCTTTCTAACTCTGGTCTGTGTTTTATTCCGAGTAGAAATGGTCATCATTATGCCAAATAAATGTAGTTTTCTGTTTTTCATTGCCATCAGAAACGATTCTACATAACTTATATATCCGTAAAAATCCAATTAATTTGATCTAAGAATGCAATTAACTCGATACGAGCGATGGTTCAGTAGATTTCAGAAGGTAAAAAGGAAAAGTAGATAAAGTAGTGCAATAGGTTCTACTGAAAATCAGTGCAGCGCCATTTTCAGTAGAACCTATTGCACTACTAAGACTGTAGATGACACCTCAACGCGATAAAATATATCTATACTAATTTATAAAGCTGAAGAGTTTGTTTGAACGCGCTTATATCAGGAACTACGGGTTCGAATTAAAATGTTTGTGTTGGATAGAGAATTTATCGAGAAAGGCTATTATAGGCTATAAACATCGCCCTATGACTAATACAAGCGAAGATACAGCAAGTAATGTGAAAAAAAAATTCTTATCTTGTCTATCTATATCTCTCTCGTTCTTATGGGTTTCCGATGCGTACGCTGAAAAAACGCCTCTGTATTAAAGAATTATGCCTCTTTAAATCATTAAAAAAAGTCCGCGATGCTATATTTTATTTTAAAAATAACTTGCAATTGCAATTTTAAAATTAACTTTCAAGAACGACGGGAAGGGACGCGACCGAGTTTATAAACATGACGGGGTTTGCAATAACGAATTCGGATGCCCAAAAGAATGATAACGAAAGTTATAATTTCTACTAGGAAAACGGACACAGAAAAGTAGCTGTCCCGTGCGAAAGGGAAACGGTATGTTTTATACTGCGAATACCATTCACGTATTCACCTGGACTAAAATAGTGCATGCATTCCCGTATATTTCTGTAATGTAGATGAGGCCAGCACGCCCATGGTATGTTAATGGCTGAAATTCCACACGAAGTGTCGCCAAGATAGACCGGCTGATACCGCACATGCTGGGAGTGTGAGAAGTTACGACCCGTAGATTGAGATGTCTTTGCGAATAAATATCTATCACAATATATTGGCGCCATTTTGCAGCCGCCATCTTGAATTCAAATTAATACGAAAATACGGTTTAAAACGCAAAATATACTATACTAGCTGTGCCCGCGTCTTTGTCCGCGTGGAATAGTAACTTGGGATAGAATTTTTAATTATTTAGGCTGTTCATTTATTTATGTAAGGGCGCATTCTAAGAAACCAATCTATGTTGTTAGTGTTACTTTGCCGCAACACTCTCACCTCACATCACTCCTACTCTAACTTCCACTCTCATTCTTATTCCCAAAAAGCCAAAGAAAAAAGTTTAATTTTTCTAGCTTCAAAAACCACGAATTTCCATACAAACTTTCATCCCCTTTTTCAATACCTATCAACCCTTTCTGGGCATTAATAAGTAGCCTATGTACTTTCGCAGGCTCTTAAATATCTGTGTTCCAAATTCAGACAGAGTTACTTTCACATTTATAATATTAGTATAAAATATAGAGTTTAACTACTAGCCGATGTTTCGTATGCTTTCCAGCAGCCTTAATGTTAAAGTCTTAGTCAAAGGGCGAAAATTATAGACAATAATGATATAACAACGTAAAGTATTAGTAGAAATATTGAAGATAACATTGAGGAAAAACATTAAAACGATATTAATGACTTTAGTATTGGTATTGAAATATATATCATATGAGTTTATTTTTTTTAACCTTATAGAAAAGCCAAGGAGCGAAACATCATTTAATCATTCAAAGGGAAAGAATACTTTCTTTATTAAGGTATTCAGAACATGACATTAACATTATGAGTATTTACTAAACTTTACACATAAAATTTGTTTAATTTTATCGTGTCGTCTTTATGCATGATGCCACGAAAGATTAACTGATATTTCTCACTCCACTCCGTTAACAAAACAATTAAAACTGAGTCCTGCGAATCGTATCGGCTGTCTTATCGAAGATAAATGCTCGCATCTGCGCGCATCTCTTTGTGCGTCATGCGCAAACGCACTCACTAATGCGCTGAAACATTATTTGGAACCAGCTTATTGAAATGGATCATTTACACTTTATCTGTGTCAGACTTCTTACGGATACTTAAGTTTTATATAGGTATATCAAGGCAAATATCATACATACATGTATGATAAGAAACTGTTAAATATTCGTATCATATAAGTAGGTAGTAGGTAAGATAACTGCTTTGTATTTACTTTCGGGCGTATATATATTAATATTGTGCTGATATTTAAAAAAAAAGTTTTCCTTGGTGCCATCAATAAAGTGCGGGAATAACTAATAATTAATTATTATTTTTTAATTCTTGTAATATAACAACAACAAGTTTTGGTTCTATTGTAAATTAGAAACGATCTCTAGAAAATAACTTCGATCTAAATGATTTTGCAGAGAGTGTATCTTAATCTAACTTAAACATTTCGTTTAACACCTCGTTTTTTTAATTTCAGGAAACCCAAACGACAAGATCCTCTACGGCCGCCCGAACAAGCGTCGTAGCGCGTCCTTCCCCGCCCCCCGCTCCCTGGATCGGCGTCACTCCCTCCGGATATTTGGTTCGTCGAGCAAATACTTGCAGCGATGCGCATCTACCCGCAGCCTCCACCACAAACACGCGAACACGACAGACAGCTCATCTTCCACCGACTATCCTCCTAGCGTAGAATCTGCGTCGCCTAGTAAGCATCCTTTTCGTTGCAAGCGCATGATTTTGCTTTTATTTTAGTTGCGCCTAATTATTTTGCATTTGCCAATGTTCTGTGGATAGCAGTCATTTATTTATTCATTATATCAACCTATATTCGATGAGATCAAATCAACTACATTTTTAAAATGCTAAACAACGACTGAGCATATTTTTTAATTATAACAATCTTTTTGAGGTAAACACATTTATCTGTACGTTTTACTGATCTTATATCAATAGAGAAATAGTTCTCTCTTCGACCGTTATCAATTTGACATCAATCCGAAGGCATCTGACTATCCAATCATTCCAAATTCTTATTATAGGTAGGTAAAATATCACAGCCATAGAACGTATAAACGCATCTTGCGCTGTTTCAATTTATATTCGGAATTTGGAAATCCAAGGACTGCAACCGGAACGCGAATAAATGGCTTCATAGAATCATGGCTTCTCATTTGTGGAATTTCACCGATGTCCAGTTTCCCAGAAACCCAAACTGTTTAAAAAGATAAAAATCATATTGGACGCGATAGGGTCAAAATTCAACGGACAACCCACGATCCTTTGGTTATTGTTGGTCATAATTTGCTATCGGTAGACTAACGAGACCTATTCAAACAATAGCTTTTAATTACCCACTTTAAAAGGGTTTAGGGACTAAAGTACTACCTTGCATACACCTATTGATGTCATAACGTCTATTTCAGAGAAAGTGTCGTTGCTCTCCCGCTTATTTAGACGAAGCGGCCGCAGCAAGCAGACGCGAGCGATGAGCACGTTCTCTGCACAGTTCCCGCCCACGGAGTGGTTCAACTCCAAAGCGGTGCATCTGCATTGCGTAGCCACACAGACAGACTCTAAGGTAAGATGATAAAGAAATCAATAGCTTTTTTGATTTCTACTTGTACCCCCTTTTAAATGTTATAGGAATTGCAAATATGTACTATGTATTATATAATAAGGAACAAAACTTGCTTTGTTACAGACGAAGAAGTTTTGATGAAAAGCTTTTTATTGTGATGCTTAATTGTCTAGCGGTAGGAGAGTTTAATTGTAAACTACATTTTACCCTATCAATTTATTTGATAATTTTACCTTAAGGACAACAGCACTGCTTTCTTTCTTTCAATCATAAACGCACGCAGACATTAGCTCGTAATTTAGAAGCTAGTTTATATATAGCACTACATTAGTCCTTCTGTGTTCCAGGAGTCACTGCAGAGTCAAACATCGTACATGTCATCGTACTACGACGGTTCGGAAATAAGCAATCGGTCTTCGACACTCCCTAGGAGACACAAACGACACCTCTCCACCGAGTCGGGCTTGGCGGGGTCAATGCAGTACGACCATTCGCCCATACGACAGTCCAGCCCGAGCTCCGGTAGTCTGCCCAGGTCGACACTTAGCAGGAGCTCTACAAACAAAACCATCTTGGACCATTTCGGGTCACCACAGCGGAGCGATCCGAAACTAAGGGACAGTCCCAGCGGGAGTTTAAGAAGGGTGGACTATTCGGATAACGTTATGTCCACTAGCGGTCCTTCCAGCTTGGAGAGCACGACCACACATCGGACTCCGAGAAAAGACAGAAACGCACACTCCGACCAGACTTCGCCGATGAAGAGGAGCTACCATACCAGCGGTAGTAGCGGTCACTCGAGTCTGGAATCGCACATATCCGATCGAACCTTAAAACCTTCGCCTAGTCATACCAATGGAGCGCCGGGACTTAGCAGAGCACAATCGCTAGTGAAAGTACAAAGCTTACAAAGCTCTCCGAAGAGCCTCCACAAATATAGAACGAAGCCCCCCATCGTCGGTGGCGAAGTAAAAAACGGAAAAAGCACATCTCCAAAGGCATCGCCGAAGAACTGCCCTGGTACACCGAAAAAAACTGCAACTCCACTGCATAATAAGGGCCTTGGATCGAAACTAGAAAATCCAACGACGGCGATGCTGGCCAGTTCGAATTCTAACAACTCGATTACGCTTAAAGTCACAACGAATACGATACACCAAAATGGCGGAACTAACACCAAAGTTTACGTTCAGAATTCCCCCGTGCGGTCCGTTATAACGTTTGAAAACGGTAAAGTTACTGAAACAAGTAACGGGAGTAATATTTACATTATCAACGACGACAGACAAGTGGTGTCCGTATCGCAGAATGGTGTTTCAAATGCAACACCAAAGAACCCAAAGGAAACATCCTTCGATGTTTCCGTTGAGAACAATAAACAGTACAAAGACGCAGACGCAATAAAAGTACAAGAGAATAAATTTAACAAAAACTCCATGAACGAAGCGAACATGAATAACAACAGGAAACTGTCTTTGCAGATCGGTGGCGGTAACAATAACAGTTTTGTATATAAGAATCAGTTGAATAATTCCAATGACATAGCTTCAAATCCTTCTTCACCGGCCATACATAATAACATTCATAACGTAGAAGCGACGCCTAACAGCAATCCTTCTACACCTACAAAGAGTTACGACAACATTATTGGCTCTTTAGGCAGTTTGAGGTACCAAAAAAACTCTTTTACATCAGCTAACACTGGCATGCAAACTAATATAAACTCGAATAGCGAACTCAAAAGTGTTGATCTGTTGAAAAAAGCTGCCGCTTTACAAATGCTGAATGGCCTTCCAAACAACAGAATGAGTTCTGAATCAATCGCGAATCTACTAACGAAAGGAATCGATCCGAAACCGACCGTTCTCGGTTCGGAACCAAATCTCGCTTTGAACGAATCGAAAGACAACACGTCATCAGAGAAGATTCACTGTATAGAGAACAAGCAGAAGAGATACAGCTTGAGCCAAGATGGAAAGAAAGAGAACCAGGATTTCTACAATTTCCCAAGCTTAAGCGATTTGAGCTTTAACTTCACTAGTTTAGCCGCACAGAAGATATTGAAGGGTGTCAGTATAAATAGTGTTGATACTTTAGTCGAACTTAATATGGCCGCAAATACGGACAAACCGAATAACCGTGACGTCACGCCCGTGTGCACCGATTTTGGCCTTGTATAGTGTCTTATACTGTAAATGTACAATCCTATCGTAAGTTAGCTTTAAGTGTCGATAACTTAGTTTACATCCATAACATTTAGTTCAAACTTTGTACTCATTTGAATTTTGTACTCCCAACTTATATACTTTAGATACCACATGTATCCCTTCTAATCGAATTTTAATATACTAACTTATTGTCAATTTAATACTTCCATTGAGCACCTTAAATTTCGTGTTATAAGACAATAAGAACACAATGTGGCCTAAGTGTTGCCATCCATGTGAATTTAGTGCCTAATATAATCGAATTATTTATCCTACTCAGTATTCGTAGTGTAATTATATATTTCTAATCCTTAATCCTTAGCACATATCTAAAAAATATCACTTAGAACGTATAATTCCCTAAACACCAGCACTACTTTTCGTGCCATCGCATTTCCAGTGAATATGAGTACAAACTATAATAACTCAATAAAACACACAAATATGAAATCTGCAAAAATGTTTCAATTTAAACACAGGCTTGTATACAAGGTAAATTGGTAATTAAATCATACTTTTTAATTGAAACATTTTTAACAGTAAGTGGCCCTATTTGGAGTAAGAATGTGAAAAATCAAAAAATTGTTCTCTCACGTTTCCCATTAAAGAATTAAAAAGTCAGAGACAATTTTTAAAATGATTTTGAATCTGTAACTACCCCCTCAGGGTTGTCTATGAAGCTACGTAAATGTATTCAATTTAAGTGTTCATTTTCATTACAAATACTAATTAACTAATTGTTCCAACAAATGGTCTAGTTTTTCTCCTTAAGACATTTTCTTGGCTTCATGAGTAATCCAGCAAATCCCTTTTAAACGGATGGCAGGGAGATTTAATGTATGTCATGTATAAGTGCCATAAACCATAATATAATTGTGAGAATCGGGCAATGGGATTGGAAGATTGGTTTTTTATTTTATTTTGGTCAGCACTTAGTGCAAGACAATGGGTAATATTTATTCATTAGGAAATGTAATCAAAAGTCAATGCATACTAGTTTAAGAATTCAGTTACGCCATTTGTAAAAATGTATTAACAATATAAGTTGATGCTTAATGGTTTTTTTGTTTGAATGTCCTTATATCATTATAGTCCCTAATGCAATGGCAGAATTCAATTTCATAATATCTGCTGTTAATTCAAGTTTCAATGTTAAATAATGGATATTTCTAATTATACAAGGCAACATGAAACAATTCAAAAGGCAGCAATATGACTGAATATATAAAATAATAACAACAAAGTAAAACTTTACTAATTGGTTACTAATGATTTGTAATGATTCTTATTTTTTATTTGTCCAAATGCATTCTTAATTCTCAAACAAAGGAGTATATTATAATAAACTGTTAGTATTGATAAATATGAAGTTTATGTCAGCATAACAATAAAACATATTGATGTACCAATTCGTCTGTATCATATTTTTAGGAAGAAGGAGTAAATGGTAATTATAAGTTAAATAGTAAAACTAAATGACATAGATAAAATATAAAAATTTATTTCTTTAGTTCTCTCATGTAAAAATTAAGTATATCGCCATTACTTTGTGCTAAGAACAAGTTATAGTGCTGTGTTCCATGACGTCTGTAACTTGCAGGGGTTCAGTCTCTGTTTGATTTTTTATTGTATTTAGCCAGTCATCTGTGGGTTCAATTTTTTTTACCTCCTGGTCAGAACTCTCACTTGTTGAATCTTGTGTATCGTTTTCTATAGTTGTAAGACTACCGCTGAGATCATTCTCATCACTATTACTACCTTTAACTATCTCGGGTTCTACATTACGAAATTTCTTTGATACATCCTCTGGTCTTATATTAACATAACATACACAGTCTTCTGTTTTGGTTATTTCTTTCAAGGCTGCCTCTTCTATTATTTCGAGTTCTTTCACATCTTCTCCGTTAGTAACGTCTTCAATGGTTTTATACATGTACATGTGATCATCGTAAGGACTAACATAATCTTCAAGTATAAAAGTGCTGCTATCAAAATTTAACTTCTCAAATTCTACTGTACCGTAATTGCTTATATTTTCTAGTAGTGCGTCTTCATTATCATAAGATATCTGGATGTTTTGAACACAATTTCTTCTTAATTCCTCGTTGTCTTGGCATTGTTTATGTATAGCTTCCAGCTGACGTAAAGTTTTGAGCTCCCTAGCTTTTAATGAAGCGTAGATACGCGCAAAAGATTTTCTCACAATTGATTTGAGCTGGAAATGAGCAGTAATATATTATGAAATCTGTATAATGAAAAATATTTTTTGCAAATTTCATTTAACTTACTTTTTCGATATCATTATGAAGTCCATCAATCTCCTCCGCCATGTTTGTTTACTATTGTGTTAAATGTCAAAACCTACTTTCCTTTCAAATGACAACTGACATCGGATTGCAATTTTCGATTATATGGCAACAGGAAAGTGAAATAGTTAAAAACAATATATATTTTTCATACTAGCAACATGATTAATCTTTATTGATTTTTCGTTTGACATTTATCATCAAAAGAAAAACATCAATGAGAGTGGTCGAACATAGTTTTCGCTATAATTGTTTGTAATTTAAAATCGTAATATACGTGTTAAACATAAATTTCTGGTTCATTATTGAACTATGAGTGAAGTGCGACATCGTCGTGGTGATGGTGATGGGAACGAAAAAGTGGAGACGGCTGGCGAATCCGACCATGTATTTATTTGCTAATATTTTGTGTAAAACCAGTTTATTTTATAAATCAAACAGTCACTTATCAAGGTATTGTAATAATAGGTTGATTCGGAGGAAGAAAAGGTGTTGGAGGAGAAGTATGTAGATGAAATGGCGAAAACTTTACCCCAGGGTACTGACAAAACACCAGAAATTTTAGATTCTGCGCTCTCTGGGTTGTCTTCGCGGTAAGATTATTTATATACCTAATTACTAGTATAATAGCTTAATATTTTATACTTGAAAATACTACCACCTTTAAAAAGTAAATATATGAAATGACAAAGCAATTCTCTTCATTATTCAATTTTTAATCATCTGGTTGCATACTAATTATTTGACATCAATATTTCTTTGTATAATTGTGTTTACTAACATATATGACTCCAAGCATCATCTCTGACTATAGAAATATGCATTAAGACAAAACTGGCGTAATACTGCAAATTTTTCTTAGTCTCAGATTAATAGTTGTATGCTATAAATAATAAAAATAGAGGTAAAGATAAAATTTAAATTGTTATAAAATTTTACCATTTAGTGAGGACTTATTAAATTTACACTCTTAATTTTGTCTAAATTCATAAAGTTTTAATTAAATACATGCTGGACTTTATGGGAGTATGCACTTAGTGAGTGGTTGATTCACTTGGTTATTAAAAAAAAGCATAATTATTACTGGCATAGCCAGCCCATCAAATGTATGATCTAATTAAATTTTCTCTTCAGATGGAGAAATTGGGTTATCCGAGGCATTTTCACATGGCTGATGATTGGTGGGTTCTGCTTACTCATTTATGGAGGGCCCTTAGCTTTGATGATTACTGTAAGAAAGATTTGGAACTTCTTAGTAAATATTAAATTGTAAAAATTAAATTTTGTATACTTTGTATATTTTATTGGAACATGTACAATTGACTATATCATCAGTAATGCAAAAAATTACATTAGCTTTATTTAAATTAAATAACTAGAAATTTTTATTATAATAATAGAGTTGGACAGTTAACATTTCACATACCTTTACTTAATATATCAACCAATTATATGTCCAGACTTTCAATCAGGAGTCTAACATGTTTTAGAATAATTATAATTTTATTTAAAAGCACATTGGACCCAATAGAAATTAAACCTATGTTCTGTTGGTTATAAGCCATAAAATGCTACCTTTAAAGGGCTAAGAGCCCGCTTAGTCTAAAAAAAATTGGAGTGTCTAAAATAAAAAGAAGGAAGATGATAGAAGTGTTTTATCTCTTCTGTTTCGATGTGGACTGATCACCCGGCCTTCTATGGGTGTCTCGGACATAAAATAATAATCTCTTTTTTTAACTACATCTTTTATTGTGACGTTTCTAAAAGACTTACTAACAATTTACATTACATTGATATTGAGCTTCAAAATTAAAGAAACAACATTTCTTATTGCATAGGTCCTATGCGTACAAGTGAAATGCTTTGAAGAGATCATTAACATTGGGCATGCTGTCTACCGAGTCCATGGGTTGCCATGGTTCCGTTCACTCTCCTGGTACTTCCTGCTGTGTTCCAACTACTTCTTCTATGGCGAGAGTCTCATTGATTACTTTGGAGTCGTGATAAATCGGACTGTAAGTATTGATCATAATTAATATGTAAATTGCTTTGTCCATGCTATTGTGTGCTTGGTGTGTGAATAAGTAGATTGTCTTTCATACATTATTCTTTTGTTATTTTAAATAATAAATACGTTTAGTTTTTTTGGTGTGAAGAAGTATCAGATATCCAACATTTCTCTGACCACATTTGGTAATTGGACTTAATTAACACAACAAGAAAGAAAGTTTTATAGATTAATAATTAAATTTTTGCTTCAAATAATATAGTAAATACCAGTATGGAACCCTATCTAGTTATAAGTATTCCGCACAAGTCATAGCAACACGCAGAAACTGGATTATAAACTAATTAGTTATTTACAAATGGACTTATGGATTATAAGTTAACCGTGTTCAACTAGACGGAAACCTCACATTGTCTAGACAGATTAACCATTAGTTATATACTGATAAATAATTTTACAATTGTACTTATATGTTGTCTATCTTTAATTTTTTTATTAAATATTTCTCTTCATTGTTGGAAATACAATATGTAAGTAGATATCCCGTCGCCCCTTGCCTCATCAGCGGGTGAAAACATTTGTATGTCTCATTCACTGATCGATTTAACTCACAATCGTTGCCAGAAGCTTCGACCCCGGAATAAATCTCGTGCTTAACGCAATGCTAGGCAACGCTACATATCGTATAATACATGAAATATTACACACCTGTACCTGATATAATTATCTGGTACAGACGTAAGATAGTTCATATTCTCAATAAGGCAAATATTTTTCATCTTTTTATCTGTTTGTTTCCTTTATTTTACTACATAATAACTTATAGTATTGTCAATATATGCTGACTCTACCAAATACCATTGAAGCAAAAATGTACGAATCTAGAAAAGTGATAATAGATAACATGGAGTGTGACCGATAACGTTTTTAATCTGGCTTTTAATCTTCTTGCTCAAATACATACTAAGGGAGTTCCGTATACCAAAGTATGAGTTATAGGGCAGAGTAATGTTTATTTGCGTCATCTATGATCGAAACTATTTATTATGACGTTTCTGGTGTACAGACGCAAAATGTTTTTTATAGCTATTAGCCAGATTTACTTTATGTACTTAAATATATAACAATATGTTTATGTTTTAAAAAGATAATGATCTTTGTTCTTAATTTACTTTTGTTTTCAACGCACTTGATTTACTTATCTATACATTAGTAGCTGAATAGTTTGTTTATTTGAACGCGATAATCTCAGGAAAAACTAGTTCGAATTGAAAAATTCATTTTGCGTTGGTCAAACCATTTATCGAGGAAGGCTTCAGGTTATAAGCCTTTATATATGGCAGGCTGATATATATATTATATATCAGCCTGCGACCAATATGAACGAGGGAATGGAGGACAATGCTAAATATTCATCTGTGAGAGTTGCGGGCACTGCGAAAACGGTTAACCCAAAAAATATGCATTCTTCTTTAAATAATCTAAGAAAAATCAACAACAGTATGTGTTTAATGTTTTAAAATTAACTTACAATCGTTTTTATGTTAATAAAATAAAAAAAAAAAAATTGGTCAAATCAGCTAGTTTATGGCCTTCATATCACGTATATTATTTTTCAATTAACTTAATTGGCAACTTGTTCAGTACTTTACTAGAGTAGGACTGTATTGTAAGTAAACAATATTGCATAAGCGACGCGATAGTGTTACACTGTTATCCGTTATTGTTGTTTAATGACATAATAATGATAGCGTGAGTATTAATTAGCTAACTAGCAACCTAGTAAACTATATGTGTCGTTTCTGACTTGTAAAACGATAAATATACATTTTTTAAGAACGTACGCAACGATCTCTACAAATTCTATCAAAAATAGTTAATTTGTTTGATTAAAATATACTTTCAAATAAAACACTTTAACGGTTTAAAACGCGATATATTAGTTAAACTCATAGACGGATAGTCTCCCCCTGACCACGGCTGCTGCAAAGCATCCGAACGTTGGGCCGAAGTTAAAAATATATTTCAAATAAGTTTAACTAATATATCGCGTTTTAAACCGTTTAAGGTTTTTTATTTAAATGTGAACTACTCGCGTAAACTATAGACAGTATTTAAAATGTACTTTCTCGAAAACTATATGAATTTATACCGCAACTATAAATTGTGTAAGGCTTTTACGGCCATCGTTCAGCATATCATTGTCTTTTGGGCTGTTAGGCTGACGTGAGCGAGAAGAGGTTCTCGACGTTTTACTGTCACGTGCGGACGGCATCATCGGCTGATGTTAATGTCGAAATTTTTCGAGCAACCGAGGAGTTATCATCTCCTGGCGAAACGTCGAGAACCTCTTCTCACTCACGTCGGCCGAACAGCCAGAAAATCCAAATAGTAAATCGCAGGTAGTTGCAAGGAATATAAAAGGTGGCTTGTTAAGTTTTCCTAAAAAATATAATAAATATCTCACCTAAAATGTTAGTTATATAAAAATAGATTAGACTTATTCGTATAACCTTTACACTAGGCTCCTTAGAAAAGTAACACTTCTTTTTGTGATAGAGCAGGGTAGATAAGTATGGGTTGATGGGTCAAATACCAAAGACATATAACATCTAATTAAGATGCGCTGTTGACCTTTTTTTGGCGTTGGTATTCGCAAATCCACAGACTGAAACCGAAACGAGATTAAACTTGTCGACTTTTTAATCTATAGATGGTGGTTCGTGACTTCGGAGTTTATATATTCCACCCACCCATTTAATATTCAGATTTCCACACGACATCCAACAAATTTTATCAGACAAATGTTGAACCTGATGGGGATCTGGGACCGCATTGCCATGCAATTCTACCAACGAGCCCATCTGTTTACTTAATAATTTTTCTGTTTCTATTATTCATTTACAAATATTAGCGGCATTGGCACAAAATAGACGCTTATTTGTTAAAGCTGATTAAACATAGCAAAATTATCATAATTTTGTAAATGATTATAAAAGTGGAAAACGTCTTAAAAAGTTTCCTTGTGTGTTCCCTCACTCAAATTCGGTCGTTTATTCGTTAATCACATTATGTCCATTTTGTAAATTATGCTATTCCCTAAAAGGGCGCAATATTAAACCGTTGCGTGATAAGGGATTCACTTAGGCCCATTTATATTGAAACTAGAGATGGGCCAAGTACTCGGTACTCTGCGTACTCGTCGGGTTTTGTGATTCTCATACTCGGCCGAATAACTCGGTTATTTGATAACGAGTATACGTTGTTTAAGAAAAGCTATATATTTAGGTAGATATAATTAAAACGAAAATGTTAATCCAAATATTTATTAGAATTTTGGGAAATCTTTGATAATCCCAATTAATAAAATAAAATGTATGCTAATTAATGAATAGTCATGAGACAAAATTACGAGAAGATGAGAGCGAGTCGACGTCTCTACCGGCGCGAACCTGTTTGTACTTGTTTACGCGCGCGTAGTGAGAATTTGTTTCAACCAAATTCCTCGGCAGAGTACTCGGTTGAAAAAAACTAGATCCGAGTAAAACTCCGTACTCGTTACTAGGCAAAAGTGTTAGTCGGCGCTTCACTACTCGAAACTCTTCTGTTATTTTTTTATTCATGGCTATTGCACGTTTATTGGTATTTACTTATATTGTTGTTACGGTAACATTTCATTACTTAAAAAACATATAATTATAAATTGGAAAAAATTACGTCTCGGGCTTGACTTGAACTGGTATTCACAGCCCGGTAACTCAATTGTATAGAACGGAGCGTTGTGGATGCCGATTCAAGTCCTGCCCGAGTCATAAATTATTTCGATCGATTTTTAATAATTGCATTAATTACTTTATATTCGTCGTCGTCATACAAGCTATAATAACTTTTAACAAAATGATATTAAGGGATTTCGTCCGTTATTAAATATCTATGTATGAAAGACGAATAATTAGAAATAATAAGATTTCAAGAAGAAGACGCCTTTCTCTCGGAAGCGATTGAATCAAGAATTCTTGAGGCAAACTGAGATACAATAAAAGAAAACTTTATCAATCAGTTAAATGCGTTTACCCAATTGTTTGACAGTGTGAACAAATTTAATTAATATGCAAGGCCATATGTGTGATAAAACTGGTATACGTATTTACTTGAAATGTAACTTATGAAATACTGTCTATAGTTTACGCGAGTAGTACACATTTAAATTAAACACTTTAACGGTCTAAAACGCGATATATTAGTTAAACTGATTTGAAAATCGATTTTAAAATCACGGGGAGACCGCGTGACCACGGCTGCTGCAAGGCATGCGAAACGTCGGGCCGAAGTTATAAATCATTTTCAAATCAGTTTAACTAATATATCGCGTTTTAAACCTTTAAAGTGTTTTATATAAATGTAACTTATGTATGAATATTATATAAGACATTCATCTGGTGTTGTGTATTTTGTGACAAACATTAAAAGGAATTGAGCGGCAAAAAAAACTTATCGTTTTAATACGTCGTTTATCCCGGAATAGAAAATAATAACATATTCAAAAATTTAATTTGTTTGTATGTTACTCCAAAGTCTAAACCAAATTGACAGCAAAATCTATCACAATCTGTCAAGCCGTGAAGTAACAATAGACTATCAGATTTACACATCACTGCGTAGTATAAAACAAAGTCGCCTTTTCTGTCCCTATGTGGGCATAAATCTTTAAAACTACATAATGAATTTTGATGCGGTTTTTTTAATAGATAGAGTGATTCAAGAGGAAAGTTTTTATATACAACGTTTACCGTTTTTCGAAGCTGGGGCGGGTCGCTAGTTGTCTGTGATAGATGTAACACTTACTAATATTTTACATTGCCAATTTTTATGTGCTGTGGGTATAACTTTTGGTCCACAACTTTACATATGTAATGTCAAACAACGATTGTTGAGTTATTTAGTGCACTCTCTTTTCAGGATTATCTACACTTCCTAGTGACGTATCATCGCTTCATTTCCTTCTGCCTTTACTGTGTGGGCTTCGTCTGGTTTGTCCTGTCTCTCGTGAAGCGCTATTATATGAGACAGTTTAGTCTGTTTGCGTGGACCCACGTTGCACTGCTAATCGTTGTGACGCAGAGTTACCTGATCATTCAGAATATTTTCGAAGGTAAGCACTTAATAAGTTGTCTTGTTATGTTTTTCAGTTATCATATTAATACTGTCTGTGCATTACGCGAGTATTGCACATTTAAATAAAAGGCTTTAATGGTTTTAAAGCTATTTTACCAACGGCCCGACGTTTTTGATGTTTTGACCTGCTCACGGAAAAACACGGGGCCGTAGTTAAAACAATTTTTACATAAGCTTAAATAATATATTTCGCGTTTTAAACTGTTTTATTTCAATAATTATTATTTCTAAGTAATTACAGTATCTTTTTTTTTTAAGTTTAGTTGACTGGTCCATTTAATGTTCGATAAACAGTCTTTATTCTTTTAAAGTTTTATTATAAACTACACAATGATATTGTAAGTGCTGACTTAAAGGTGAGGCAATAACATGCATTTTTTGTTGTTAATAAAAACAAAAAAAACATGATTCATACATTTGGCTCAACGAGTATTTGATAAAACGTCGTTCGATTTGATAAGTAATCGTAATTCCAATGATCTACTTGGAATTTCTTAGAAGTCTGAAGCTTAATACTTTTTGAGTATCATTTGATAGCACAACGTAATAAGATTTATTTCCATCGCATTGTACTTTTTACTTGTATCGGGGCGTTGCTGCCTTGTTGTAAAGCTACTTGGAGCGAAAACAAAGTTTGTCAATCTAGAGGTTGGTAGCTGTTACCCATGACATCGTCCGCTTCCCGTTGTTTTTGCAAGTTAATCTTCAAAGATCATATACTGTCAAAAGACATTTTTTTAGATCATTTAAAGGGAAATTATTCTTTCATTGGGTATCTTGAACCGTTTTTGCAGCGTAAGAAATGGAAACCCACAAGGGTGAATATGTTTTTTCCTCTTTTTTCCCGCCGTTTCTTCGCCCCTATTAGTCATAGCGATGTTTTATAGCTTGTAACCATACCCGATAAGTACTAACCAACTCAAAAATAACTTTTCAATTCAGACTACCAGATTAGCACGTTCAAACAAACAGCTCTTCAGCTTTATATGTTAGTATAGATTTGACTGCTAATAAACGTGATGAGTGAAACAGACAAATGTTTCTCCTCTTTGTCTTACACAACCTATTGCATTTCATATGCTACCGTAATCTTTTTAACACTCATTTCGCTCGCTTCAGATAGTGATACATCAACTGTTGAATGACCTAATTTCATGATACGATCAATAACCACGCTGGAGTGTCATGTAAGACGCGTTTGCACTTATCGTTGTCGATAAAATCCTTCCAAAAAAGGAAACATACTTTTCGTCTTTGCAACTGATTTTTGAAAAATATATTAATTTAAATAAAATACTTTAACGGTTTAAAACGGGATATATTAGTTAAACTTATTTGAAAATGATTTTGTCGCCCTGTGACCACGGCTGCTGCAAAGCATCCGAAACGTCGGGCCGAAGTTAAAATAATTTTCAAACAAGTTTAACTGTTATATACGGCGTTTTAAACCGTTAGTGTTTTATTTAAATGTGTACTACTCGCGTAAACTAAAGACGGAATTTAAATATATTAATTTATAATTTTCTCCATCCAGCTTTAAAAAAATATTTTCTATTTTGTTCTGACGGGGCGACGAATGTACAAGTGGAATAAATCACGATGAAAGTTTAAAACGCGAAATGTATTTTGTCAATTTATTTTTATCAATAAAGAAAATTGTCTATATTTGTCGGTTACACTAATCTATTTCTTTTTAAAGGTAATGATCAATTGGCATTTGATATTCTATCATGTTTTCCTTTTTAACAGTACAGTGTAGTTGACACAATTAAATAATCCAAAAATCACGTCAATCACAGTCTTATTAGATGTACCTAAGATCTAATAAGACGTTTACGAATACAACCAAACGCACACACTGATATATATACATACACTAGGAGCATTATATATCCATACTGTACAATGTTACTGGTCTGTGCCACAGATAACATCAGCCCCATTTACGCCATGTCACTCGAGATGACATGAACGGGAAGCCTTTGATGGCGTCCTCAATGCTATTGAAACCGCATTGAAATGGAAATACAGGATTATAACGAAAATTGTATTCAAGGCAACTATCGTTTGTAACCGATCTAAAATTCTCTAAAACTTGATAGTGTTTGAAACACACATTTGCGCCTTAATACTGTCTGTAGTTTACGCGATTAGTACACATTTAAATAAAACACTGTAACGGTTTAAAACGCGGAGCCGTGGTCACGGCGAGACTAAAAATAGAGGGTGTCTCTGACGTCAAAGTAAAAAACTGTTACGCTAACTACGACGAAACAGAGCGCGCAAGCGTTACCAGTTAAAAATTTCAAATAAGTTTAACTGGCGTTTAAAACCGTTAAAGTGTTTTATTTAAATATTTATGTCTGTCATATTTCCATGTAAATGGATAATCAATAAAAATGTCCATAAAGCCGTAATAATTCTCTATTTCCTCGTGATTTGAACTCGAACCCGTCTATTATGTGATCGAAACGGTATTCTAAAACTGTGCAAATATGAAATAAGCGTTAAAAAACAGCGGATTGCCGTAACCTTTAGCGTATTAGATATAATCGCATTGGCCGTTGAAACCAAAATGCTACGCATACAAGGTTACAGAGTATGTAGTATGTATTTCACAACGAATAAAAATGCCATATAAAAGTTGCAATTACATAAAAAATCACAAATCCTAATGATCATAAGTAATATTTTTCACATATTACGACACGAACAGGACTTGTACTGTTGCTCTAACTGACATCCGGTTAGTATTAGAGGCCCGGGCTCAATACATTATAATCCAAAGCAAAAAAAAAACTGTGTCCTACTTTTTCTTTCAATTTAAAATATATTTTCAAACTAAAGACACAGAAAGCATATCAACCAACTCGCACTTGGCTAGTACAAATGAGATCTAAGTTGGACGAATTCGTTAAGTTTTGTCCTTGTCGTGGGTATTAAAATGTCTAATGATGTCACAATAAATAAACAAATATGGTGCATATGTCACGAGATTTTTTCTAAATGTAGACGGTCAAGGACGATGTCCTATACCCCTGAAATATGGAAGTTGAGTAAAAATACTATTGCAAGATGCAGTTCTGAATAAAATTAATTGCGACTTGAAATTGCTACATATAGCACTCATTTTGTACATTATGTGAGTTTTATGGCGTGGTAGTACAATAAATTGATGCAATGTTGTAAAATATCAAAATATTAGTACATCGTAAAGGTGAGCGTACATCTGTCTGCACCTTAGCGCTGGGCGCGCCAAACGCAATCGCCATTCTTATATGTTTATACACAAACATCGCGAATATGTGTTGCGAGTAAATTTGCGATCACCTTAAAGGAGCGAACTTATTAAGTCAAGTCAAAAATCATTTATTCATGTAGGTAACATGGTACACCTATAAACATCACATAAGCTAACTCTAGAGTCTAGACTAACTCAAGACTCTGCTAGATCTCAAATCGAGGGCGTAGAACGAAACAGAAGCAAAATCCCAAGCATTTTTGTCCTTTAAATATTGAATAACGTCACAATAACCCTTACCAAACAGTTTTTGTTTTACATACGCTATAAACTTATTCAATATTACTAGGTTTTAACGTTATTTTTTAGAACCAAGATTCGCTATGTTTATATGGAAGCATGGTAATCCCAGTGTGGGAACTGTTAAATAGATGGCACTTATGTTTGGATAAGAAATACTACGTTCGTATTATGAAAGATAATTCAAAACATGTTTACGCACAGTTCTTTCATCGCTGAACGCTTTACTTTATAAACAATAGGCTATTATTAGACCTAATATTAATTCATCAGACTTTATTCCCCTTCTGTATCGCGCTAAGTCAAATCAAACTTTATGTAAAAAAATATACGACTCATTTTATACGACAAGAAAATTTATTTGCGCGTAATTTGCATATTCATCTGTTATCTAAATTAAGAAAATAAAATATAATATTGCGTTTTTTATGTTTAATAATAATATAGAGGAAAAAGAACAAGAGTTCTCTTTACTTTTAATCTATATAAAGCTGAAGAGTTTGAAAAGTATTTCTGTGTTTAGAGATTTATGAAGAAGGTATAGACTATAAAACATGGACCTGTGACTAATACAAGTGAAGATAAGGAGAAATGTAAAGAAATGGGAAAGTTATTCATATTATGTGTGAGTAGTGCAAAAACGTTCAAGATACCAAAAAATATATATAAAAAATTATATATATTTATTTTTAAGATTAATTGCAAGAACGACGGGAAGGATGCAACCGACGCTTAAGGTTATAAAGATTGAGAGGTTTGCAAAAACGAATTTGGATGCCCAAAATAACGATTCTCGCGGACCGTTATTTTGGGACAACTAGTACCAAAATAAATTAACTATACAAACCCTAACTACATTTCAGGCAAGTAGAATTTAAAGTGCCTTGTGAAAAGTATGTTCGAATCAATTTACTTCTTCGAAACACTATTTTTCCCTTCTATTCATGTTTTTTATGATAGAGCAGGACAAACAATCATGGTCACTCGATGAAAGGTGAAATACCAAAATCAAAGTCTGTCAACCTATTTTGGCTTTGGGTATTCGGATGTATAATTTCATTGTAAAAATACTTCTTATATATCAGTAATGTACGGTAAGCAAAAATCTATTTACATTCAAAACATTTGACGACACCAATGGGACTTGAACTGGCATCCACAGCATTCCGTGATTCTGGTCTAACCACACGGACACAGTAGCTTATAGCAGCAGTCAATTGCTTATAGCAGCAGCACGAATAGCTGTGGATGCCGGTTCAAGCCCCGCTCGTGTCGTGAAATATTTTCAATCTTAGTAATGGTGTTCTTTAAATTTTTATGCTAAACCTTCCAAATGTTGCAATTTTAGTTATTAGTAAATCATGGAATTATGTTATTTTAAGGAGTGAAATAATATCCACCTTGGTATCTGTATTTACTGTGTACATGCAGTTTCGCGACCCGGAGGTAATTGTATTCTTCCACATGGTGATTTATCAAAATAGCCAGGAAGGGGTAACGGGTGACAAGGTCCGGCGGGGTTCTAAATCTAAGCAAATATAATGAGACACGGTTTTACTTTTATATCCATATTTAGAGAGAGTTAAAGGACTAACTGTTCTAAAATACACATTTTGTCTATACCTGGATTTTTAACTTATTTTTGTTGGGCTTGTTGGCCCAATGGTAAGAATGTATGACAGACAATCAACGGATTGTGAGTTAGATCCCCACTAAGTTCAAGACGTTTCTAATCAAGCTGTAATATTTCTGAACTGTGTTGGAATTTAATACTGTCTATAGTTTACGCGAGTAGTACACATTGACACACACACAGTCGTGGCCACGGGTGCTGCAAAGCATCCGAAACGTCGGGCCGAAGTTAAAAATCATTTTCAAATAAGTTTAACTAATATATCGCGTTTTAAACCGTTAGTGTTTTTTTTTAATGTGTTGGAATTTGTCTAGAAATATGGATATTTAATGAGTGGTAGGAATGTTCCGCCCGGGTCACGAACCACCGTCGACAGATGAAGAAGGCGTTAAGTTTATTCACGTTTCGGTTCAGGAGATTACCGTGCATCTATAGACAAAAAAGGTCGATAGCTTATCTTGTTAAGACGTTAGGCAGGGCATTTCGGCTACTATCAAGTGATAGTAGCCGAAATGATATACTCATATGTCCTTTATTATATAAAAAGAGCTATCGTGTGAAAAATAATAACGTTTCCGTCATTCTTTTTTGTACGACAATGAAAGCATAGTATTATCTCAGTGTGGTTCGGGCAGAATTTCTATGTTCCTAACACCACATTTAATTTTAAAATATTGCCATACATTGTTACCATTCAATCAAAGAACCCGCCTAACCATCCTTGTCTCACTGAGTACCTATTATCAAATAATCTTGTCCTATTTCTCGGAATGTCGGTCTATATTTGTTCCAACGCTCATACTGAGATTATTTACGCTAGTACAATTTTTGTAGCGTGTTTGTTTAACGCAACAACTGTGGCATTGTTTGTTAATCAGCTTTTCACGTATTTGCCCTAATGTGGGTCAGAATTAAGATTAAAGTACGCGTCCCTAATTGTTTATTCGTTTGTGTAAAGTTCAAAGTGCTTTGTACTGTACTGTTGTCGGTACGTGGATGAAGAAATGTTTGTATTTAAATTTTATAACAGACATTTTCAGCGTTGTTATTCGCATTTTTTTAGATATTAACGTTAAGTTTTCGTATTAACTAGGCTCACAATAAATATTCAGTCACTATTCCCTTTTTTCTTATTAAACCGAATTCTAAATTTATAGGGACTAGATAGTTGATAAAATAAAAACGAATTAAAGTGTTTTCATATATTCAATTTTCAGTTCTCTTAGAATAATGTAAGTAATCATCGGCAACGATTGCAATAGAAATTTGAGTTAAAAATAGATTTTAGTTAAAACACTTTAACGGTTCAAAACGCGATATTTAAGTTTAACTAATAAATCGCGTTTTAAACCGTTAAAGTGTTTTATTTTAATGGGTACTACTCGCGTAAACTATAGACAGTATTTTATCGATTTTAGATTGAAAAAAATTCGACACGGGTAGGACTTGAACTGGCATTCACAGCGTTGCCCTGCTGTTTTTTAACCAATTGAGCTGCCGTCGCGTGCGCGTGATCGTCGAATTTTTTCAACCTGTTGACACTTGCACCTCTCGCGCATTGTAACTTAAACCGTAACACTTGCGTATTTATGTTCAATGTCTTATGCTTTGCAGCTTACGGAAATTATAGAAACTTAATGTTTTGTAAAAAAAGTTGTTCAAACAATCAGAGTCAAGGAGGTCACAGAAAACAATTCCACCAGTTTATATTTAAGCACTCAAATCTGACCGAATTCGGTCAAAGGGTTCTTCGAATATTCGATAACTGCCGAATTTACTATTCGTTGCAAGCGTAGTTATTTATTATAAACCAATCACACATCTTTACAGAATATGAATTCTAACATGATAGTGAGTAACAATTAAAATTATATATTTAAATTTTACTTTTAGATCATATACGATATCATACTACATCCTTACTAATATTATAAATGCGAAAGTAACTCCGCCTGTCTGTTACTCTTTTACGCCAAAAGGCTACTTTTTATTGGGAAAGGGGGGTTAAAAGGGGGGGGGGGGGGGGGTGTGAAAGTTTGTATGGAAATTCGTTGTTTTTTGAAGCTAAAACAATAAAACTTTCTTCTTTGGCTTTTGGAGAATGGGAGTGGAAGTGGGAGCGGTGGTTTGAGTGGGAGTTAGAATAGTAGTGATGTGAGGTGAGAGTGTTGCGGCGAAGTAGCACTTACAACATAGATTGGCTGCGATAAATGCGCAATTACATAAATTAATAAACAACCAAAGTCACTATTCCACGCGGACGAAGTCGCGGGCCCAGCTAGTATTACATATACGTTATTGTCCTAATGACATCGCTCATCGTGCAATAAAAAATGTCTATTTTACAATTTACACTGTGGAGAATGTGAAGTGGTCGCATAATTGGGGAATAATACATTAAGTTTGTTCTCGCGAGATTGATGGCGCACAAGGATCTATTACGTCGTCATACGTAGGCATCTGGGACGTAAAAGCTGATGGGCTGCAGCACCATGGGGTCACGTGTGATGCCTCTCGACACCTTGAACACATACGTGGCCAACGCTAGGTGCCTCCGTGCTTCGAGCTTGGCGTATCCCACCATGCCTAACAAATAATGTCGGTTACATTAAGGGATAGTAAGGATACACCCCGTAATGCCTTTCGTATAAGTGTCTCGTAAACTTATTTTGAACATGTTCAGTTATCGCTAATGTTTTTCTATTTTACCCTGTTTCCCATTCCAGGTCTAATTTGGTTTATTGTGCCGGTATCCATGATCATTTGCAATGATGTGATGGCGTACATCTTTGGCTTCTTCTTCGGCAAGACCCCGCTGATAAAGCTCAGCCCGAAGAAGACATGGGAAGGCTTCATCGGCGGCGGGTTTTCTACCGTGGTATTTGGACTCGTGGTATGTTAAAAGAAATGAATATTTTCAAATGTGGGTTATCTTATCACTATGTTGACTAACTATTACATTAACAAATTTGAACAGTATTCTCATTAAATGTGCAATAACAAATGTTTTAATAATCTTTTATTTTTTTCATATAATAAGGTCAAATATTAATATTACTAAAAAACATTCGAAGCAAACAATTTTTTTTCGATGCTTACAAAATGGAGATTGGTCCCCGGACTCAAAGTTTCTTTCTTCTTCAAATGAACCTAGCAGTTCTTACGCGTTCTCAAAAATATAAAGTCTCGAACATATAGTATTAATAATAAGAAAAGCTTTATAAATTAAAATTGGTTATAAATGGAAAAAAACGACTCGGGCAGGACTCGAACCGGCATCCACAGCGTTCCGTGCTATTGCTCTAACCAATTGAGCTACCGAGTGCTACACTTCATCGTGGAATCTTTTCAACCTATTGTAACATGCACCACTCGCGCAATGTAGTTTGAATATAAAATCTCGTATTTTCAATTTTTAATCGATTTTTTAATTTACACATTGTGTCTTCGTGTGCAAGAATTTAAAATTTTCAAAAGAAAAGCTTTATTTTTTCTTAGCAACTTGTCACTAGAAATGCAGTTTTTATAACTAGTTATGCATAAATGTTTTTTTATTTTTGTTATTCTATAAAATATGTATTAGTATACATCATTATAATCATTTCTAAACCTTCCAGCTCGCGTACATGATGTCGCAGTATCCGTACCTGGTCTGCCCCATCGAGTACTCAGAGTCCCTCGGCCGAATGACCATGGACTGCGAGCCTTCATCTCTGTTCCGCCTGCAGGAGTACACGCCGCCAAACTTCATGCTGCCGCTTGTCAAAGTCGTAAGTATTAAATAGAATGGCTATGTGACAATGCGAAAGAATAGTCACGCTATTATTGTAATCAGTATTAAGGATAAGTGAAAAATAGTAAAACATTCACACATTTTAAAATAAAAATTCATTTAAATACCACAAATGAAAATTAACTTTGTTTTTATCAGGAGCGAATTGTGTCACGTGACAAAAAAATCGCTCCTGATTGGTCGGTTTATGACGACGTCACTTGCTTATAAACACCGCTTCAAAGTACCGTGCTTTCTAGTGTTAAAACTGTTCTATTCTCTGCATTAATAAAAAATAATTTTGTTACTCATTCTATTACTTTAATCACTGTCTATAATGTGAAATACATTAGTTAATTTACTTACAATTTATATACATACATTATTTATTACATAGTTAAAACTATGGCTCAGCGTCTTAAGCCGTAGTTAAAATTAATTGTAAATCAATTAACTACATATGTTTCGCGTTTTAGAAGGTGGAATGTGTTTGATTTAAATGTAGTACACATTGAAATACACACATAAGCTACAGATACTTTACGAAACTAGTAAATATGGAAGGACATATATCATAGAAATCTTTTATAATAATTTTATATCCCTGTTCTTTGTAGTGGATTGTGGGAAAGAGAAAACGCATAAACCTTTTTTTAGTGAATAAAAAATGTTTTCCAAATTAATACCAATGAATCTTTTGTATGTTTAATGGCCTAAATGTTTTCAGTTCGGCCGCGAAAAGCTGACTCTGTACCCATTCATGATCCACTCGCTGGCTCTCAGCATCTTCAGCTCCGTGATTGGACCTTTCGGTGGATTCTTTGCTTCTGGCTTCAAACGGGCTTTCAAGATCAAGGTCAGTGGAAGTAGAAGTATATATTTCTATAAGCATTACTTGTGAGAAGATCTGCATTCCATTATGTTGTTAACAAAAGTTATATAATTATTATATATACGTAATAAGTCTTAAAAGTTATATGTAATGTATGACACGTGGGGGACTCGAAGCCGCAACTTATGGCGTACTGTGCAAAGCAAAACGTCGAGAACCATTTCTCGTTGCTATTTCGTTACAAACAATATTGTAATTATTAATTTCTATTTCAGGACTTCGGCGACGTGATCCCCGGCCACGGGGGCATAATGGACCGCTTCGACTGCCAATTCCTCATGGCGACTTTTGTCAACGTGTACATCACCAGCTTCATACGCACCGCTACGCCGCAGAAGCTCTTGCAACAAGTAAGAATTATATAATTTTACTAAAACACAATCGATTTGACACTAACTTATGAATAAATTACTTTCATTGATATAATGAATATCGGTTTAACGAGTGTATCGTGCGAGGGTTGAGGAATCCAGTGGTGCCAAACACGGGCTTTTATTTACCACAGTTGACGGAGACGTCGCCTTTTTGACAGTTCACTTTCTGTCGATGTGAAAGGTGGCCCGACAAAATGGCGTAGCATGTTTTGTCAATTAAATGTGACGGCGGCGCTGACATAAAGGTTTTAATTTTATTTGTAAATCTCAACTTTACAGGTGTACAACATGAAGCCAGAACAGCAATTGCAATTATTCTACGCACTGAAAGAGTCCTTGGAGAATAGGAACATTTTGAACGCAATACCGTAAAGATCGCCCAGGTAACAGCGTCTGTTCCATTGGGAGGGTAGTTTCATAAAGTGCTAATGTCGGTTAAGCATTATTTCGAAGATACTAGTTAAATTCTTGCTTGGATTTATCTATAAACAGATATATAGTATTATACGTATTTAAAAAAAAATAAAAATCACTCTTATTGCGTTGTATAGCAAGATGAGATTTGAACGTGTTCGCTTGTATTATTGCGCAAGAGTTTATATACCTCTTTTCCTTTATGGAAAATCTTCAATCTCATCTCATTTATGTGATCTCGCATAATCTGTGAATCGTCACTTTTTGACACTACCCACGCTGTGACATATCCGGTAACATGACAAAAGTTTGAGATTTTTGCTTATTATGTGTCAGAACACAAACAAATGTTTTTTTTTTTAGTTAAAATTGTTCATAATAAAAACTCAACCTCTTGTAGTATTGCTCTAAGATATTCTGATCTAGTCTGTTTGTGCAATCGTTTACCGACAGCGAGGTGTATTTCATGTTTATGAAAACATTATGACGTAATATAAGGCAAAATTTACACTTAACGAAATTCTATCCAGATATATTCACAATAGATTAAAAAATCGCGAAGTCTGATATCCAATGTCAAAATGGCTCAACAGCGCATCTCGTTGTTGTGTCATATGTCATACCTTCGATTAAGTGACACCCCCCCCCACTATTTTAGTTGATAATAACAATGTATAACATACTCTTATTTACGGCATAATGTCACATGGGCTAAACAAATATAGCATATTTACATCATACAAATGTGAAGGTACCTTAATTTTCACTTAAAACCTTTTATTTATAATTCGCGCCAGGCAATGTTTCAAGTCAGTGTTGCCAATTAAACGGTTTATATACCTTGGATTTTACTAGCGCGGTCTTAGTATTGCTATTATAGAGTATAAGGTACCATAGACTAAAAGCGCTTGCTTTGTTAGTTGTTATCTGTGGAATAGTTTGTAGTTTATGTTTAGTTATGGTTGTCCTAGCGGCTGTTAGTTGACTCGAATTATATTTTATTAAATGTTAACAATTGATATTGTATGAAACATTTTTTTCTCTCATCGTTTGTGTTTTTATCTAGATTATTATTGCTATGGCTGTCTTATGATATTATGATGTAATAATCCTTATTTATACTTTTAAATACTTTGTCTCTTTCACACTTAAGTGTGTGTGTATGTTGTGTGATAGAGACAAGTTGCGTTTCTTTATCACACTCGATTTTATGGGGAAAGACATTCCTAATTTTGAACTTTTATATAAATGTACAAGCCCCTTTAATCAATGTTGCCATAATGATCCTAAAATTTAAGCAGTTTCGCATTTTTTTAATGCTAATGGTGTGGTGGGCTAAGCATTTTCCATTTTTGTATATCTCATTCATTTTCCATATTAATTTAGTCTTTCTAGATACGTTTATCATTAAATTTTGAAGATAAAACATTATCTTTCCATGTTTAAAGAATTTAAACACCAAGATAAGCATGTACGGGTTTATTTTTACTATATTTACTTCTAACATCCTATAATGTAATAATAATTAGTAGAATTTTACGTATATATTACTATCTACTAGATAAACGATCTGTCGCAAACCAAAGGACGGTTACGATTAGTCTGATACTATCTGAGCTAATAAGATGATATAATATGAGGCCGCAAGAGGCAGAGTAGCCTAACTACAATTTTCTAACTTGAGTTATTTACATTTTCATATTCCAAAAATGGTAATCTACAAGACCATAGTGATCAAAAATTTCTTTCATAATTTCTAAACAAATAATAATAGTTGAATATATTTTGGCCTAAGTTAATTGCAGATTTCTCCTTATTGAAAATCATGTTTTTGTTATTAGGCCACTCTGCCTGTAGCAGCCTCAAACCTAAATATTATTGAACGAAATCGCTTGCATTTTGTTGTAAAACTTTGTTTGCGGTGTAATTCTTAAAAGTACTTTCACCGACTAGTTATTATAAAAATATATTCTACATATTATAATGCTGTATGTGTTACCGTCCATACTTCAGTTTACCATACTATATTATAACTTTCTACTCCTACTTAGTTTGTTTTAAGAACCGTTTCTACTTTGAGCTTTGCCATCGCTAAAATGGCGTTAGCCTATAATAAATATTTTGTACCTCAAATAGACTGTGTTCCAGAAAAAAGAACTTGACATAACAGGTTATATTCTCCCCTATTAACCTGTTAGGGGGATGCTGGGGTTATTTGGTTATCCATTACCTTATTGAGTCTTATTTATCTTCACCTGAATTACAGCAGTTGAAAAACCGAGTTTCTGATTTTTTTCAGGTTATATTGACTAATTTTTATACACTTACCCTGGGTTAAGTTAAGGAATGTAGCGCCATCTGTGTTTATATGAGAAACAGTTTTTAATCAAATCATTGTATGATGTCTGATGCAGATGGGAATAGTAAATAAAAGTAATTAACTACGAAAGTTTTAATTAGTATTTACTTTTACTGATATATCGATTACCTTTGTTGTGGTGTTAGTATTAATGTTTTATAATTGATGTTAATTAGCCAATGCAATGTGCTAAGTGTTAGATATAGAAACTTCGAGTACTTTAAAGGTACCAGACCTTTTAAAATACCTAGAAAAAAGTGAGAAATACCTAGTAAAAAGTGACTGTCAAATACAATTTCTTACAAGTTATATATAATATGTACTATATCATACATTTATTTAAGTTTTTTTACCACTAAAGAGTGCTCGAAGTTCATTTTATAATAAAGATAGTGAAATTTACGGTAATAGGATAGTGTAAAGAAATTATTTATTCTAAATGTTTGTTCGTCGTTCACTTTTACGTGTTAAGCTTTGTTTGACGCAAAAATTAGACAGAATGTCTCATACTAAAAAAATCATCTCTTGAGTACATCGCGCAATGAAAAGCAACTTTAGTCAGGTCATTGACCCCGAACAGCTGTTTAATTGATTTACATTGCGCGTTTAATAAGGATTAATTGAAAAATATGTTTTATTATATTAAGCGTCGCACATGATGTTGCGAACAAAAATGTATTAATCTTTGCGTCAACAACGCCTGAAATCAACTAATGTCTGTAACTTTAAATGCTATAAAAATCCATAGCCATTACACTATTTAAAAGGCTCTGCACTCATTCTTAATATAGTCTGTGGACTTTGAAATCCTACTGTCACAAAGTTCGGATAGTGAAGATCTGATGACGTCACAGGCCCTTTTGATCTTTCGTATTGCAGGGTACCTAGGATAGATTTTAGTACAATTGGAGGGTATTTTTTCCGTATTAATGGGCTGTAACGGTTGTTCGATCAAAGGTGCCTGCGACTTAACTAACGCTGTAACGAGTAACATGCAATGATGGTTTTTAGAATTATTTGATTTAATGTCACATTATATGTTACCTCGATTCGGGCGAAAATCAATACGTGTTAGTCGTAAATAGCTGTTTAATTATTTATTATGATGTGAATTATAATGATAAATAAAGGATTCCTTACAATGATGTGTTGTTTTATATCACTAGCTGATCCGGCAGACGTTGTTTTGTTGTTTGCATGTTCCTACAATAATTGTAACAATTGGTAATACATTAATTTCGACCAAATCTGACTATACAAACGGTTCTTAAGTGTTAATATTAATATAGACGGACGGACTATACACGGACTTTTGGGATTATTCAAAGATAAATTATTCTTTATTTTGATCGCAGCATGATTATATGGCTTAAACGTAAAGCGTATTTCGGCGGTCTATGCAAACTAAATTTTAAATCAAGACAATTGAAACAGATGGCACTAGCAGCAGATTTGACTCTGGTTAGGAACACCCAACTTCAATTCCCTTCTGACCTCGACTGCTGTAAAGCATCCAGGCGCTAGTTAAAATAAATCGTAAATAAGCTACTTAATATCCTCTTTTATTTAAATTAAATGTATTTTGTTAAATAAAAATGTATCCTTACACATTTGCAGCCTTCAGTTTCTCAGAAACGGCGAGGAAGTATGGTGAGATGATTGAAGGCAGAGCCGTGTCTAATAGAACAAAGTGTGTCCTAGCCATTGTGATCGTTTTTGACGATTCACTTGAAAAGTTTGAAGGTTACTGTTGAGGCACCTTATTGTCATACCCTGAAACAAAATGACTTAATGTTGGAATAGTTATATTATGAATCATTAGGGCCAGTTGAAACATTCTATTCGTTTCTAATCCCAATGCTGGCCAGAGAATGGAGATGACGAAGACAAAATGAATTTTTAATGTTACAAGCACTTGCTATCTAACACATTGTTATTTAACTTACGAAAATAGATCTGTTGAAACAAATTATTATAATCTTAAAAATGTTCGGTTCGAGCGAATCTTCTGTCATTTTAAGTACATGGTAAATATCCTTATATAACGGAGGAAGGCAACCATGGCGTACACTTGATAGGTGAAACACCCTGGGTATATAAGATCTAAACAAGACGCGCTATCAACTTATTCTCGTTTCTGATATTCGAAAATCCGCAGACTGACACCGAAAGGAGATGGTGGTGAAACTGCACGGTTTTTTCATCGGTAGATGGTGGTCCGTGCCCCGGACGAAATGCGATGTTCCTACCACCCATTTCATATCCAGATTTCCAGATAATGTCCAACGTATAAATTTTGGGCCCAGAGAAAACGAACGAACGAATCCATGACCCGTTGATAATAAACCATACATTGCTACCACTAACGCAATGCGCCCGTCACCAGTGCAGTTCACAGCATACAGATGGCAAAGCCGAAAAGTGTTAATTTGTGTTTTGAATTTAGTCTGTGATTTACTGAACATCAGTGAGTCAACTGTAAGTCACTTAAAATTACGACATCATAGCTCTCCATGGCTAATGGGCAGAGCAAGCTCAATCCCATATACCACCAATACCACGTCCAATATCATGAAACCACTGGATCATCGACCAGGTC